ACCTCTAAGCCTTCTCTTCTCCAGACTAAACAACCCCAGCTCCCTCAGCCTCTCCTCATAGGACTTGTGCTCAAGTCCCTTCACCAGCCTGGTTGCTCTTCTCTGGACCCGCTCCAGCACCTCAATATCCTTCCTGAACTGAGGGGCCCAGAGCTGAACACAATACTCAAGGTGTGGCCTCACCAGTGCTGAGTACAGGGGAAGGATCCCTTCCCTGCTCCTGCTGGCCACACTGTTCCTGATCCAGGCCAGGATGCCATTGGCCTTCTTGGCCACCTGGGCACACTGCTGGCTCATGTTCAGCCTCCTGTCAATCCAAACTCCCAGATCCCTTACTGCCTGGCTGCTCTCCAGCCACTCTGTGCCCAGCCTGTAATGCTGCAGGGGTTGTTGTGACCAAAGGGCAGGACCCGGCACTTGGCCTTGTTGAACTTCATCCCCTTGGAATCAGCCCAAATCTTCAGTCTGTCCAGGTCCCTCTGCAGAGCCCTCCTGCCTTCCAGCAGGTCGACACTCCCTCCCAGCTTGGTGTCATCTGCAAATTTGCTAATGATGGACTCAATCCCCTCATCTAAATCATCGATAAAGATGTTAAACAGGACTGGTCCCAGCACTGATCCCTGGGGAACACCACTGGTGACCGGCCGCCAGCTGGATGCAGCCCCGTTCACCAGCACTCTCTGGGCCCGGCCCTACAGCCAGTTCTTAACCCAGCACAGAGTGCCCCTGTCCAAGCCATGGGCTGCAGCTTTTCCAGGAGTATATTACGGGAGATGGTGTCCAAGGCTTTGCTGAAGTCCAGATAGACACATCCACAGCCTTTCCCTCATCCACCAGTGGGTCACCTTATCATAAAAGGAGATCAGGTTGGTCAAGCAGGATCCTCCTAAACCCATGTTGGCTGGGTCTGATCTCTTGTCCATCCTGTAGGTGTTGTGTGATTGCATTCAGGATGATCTGCTCCATAACTCTGCCAGGCACTGAGGTCAGGCTGACAGGCCTGTAGTTACTAGGGTCAGCCTTGCATCCTTTTTTATGGATTGGGGTGATATTTGCCAACTTCCAATCATCTGGGACCTCCCCCGTGAGCCAGGACTGTTGGAAGATGATGGAGAGCAGCTTGGCAAAGCTCTTCTGCCAGCTCCCTCATTACCCTAGGATGGATCCCGTCTGGTCCCATAGACTTGTGAGGATCCAGATGACTCAGTAAGTCACTATTTCCTCCTGGAATACAAGGGGGCTATTTGGTTTCCTATCTCTGTCTACCAGCTCCAGAGGCCAGTTGCCCTGAGGGCCACCTGTCTTACTGGTAAAAACTGAGGCACAGTAGGTGTTAAATACCTCAGCCTTCTCCTCATCTCTATTAACTATGTTTCCCTCCAAGTCCATCAAAGAATGGAGGTTTTCTTTGCCCCTCCTTCTGTTATTAATGTATTTATAGAAGGACTTTTTGTTATCCCTAACAGAAGTGGTCAATTTAACTTCAAATTGCACTTTTGCATCCCTGATTTTCTTTCTGCATGATCTAGCTGTCTTCCTGAATTCTTCGTAAGTAGCCAGCCCTTTCTTCCACAGTTGGTAAACTCTCTTTTTATCCCTGATTTCCTTCAGAATCTCCCTGTTTAACCAAGCTGGTTGTCTTCCCCGCCGGCTTGCCTTTCGGCACACCGGTACAGCCTCTTCCTGTGCTCTCAAAACTTCCTGCTTGAAGCACATCCATCCCTCCTGAATCCCCTTGTTTTCAAGGGTTGTTTCCCAGGGTATGCTCTGGACTAGACTTCTGAATAGGTCAAAATCTGCCCTCCAGAAGTCCAGCATAGAGGTTTTATTGTTGGCTCTCCTTGAATCCCTAAGTATTGAAAATTCTATTATTTCATGGTCACTCTAAGTCCAATTTAGGTACTGGAAGGCTCCTTCCTATAAGGTTTCCTCAGAACCTTCTCCTCCCTAGGCTGAACAGCCTGTCTTCATAGGATAGATGTTCCAGCGTTGTGATCAGCTTAGTGGCTCTTGTCTGGACGCTTTCCAATAGGTGCATGTCTTTCTCACCACTCCAGGAGGAGTCTCACAAGAGCAGTGTAGAAGGGTAGAATCACTTCCCTCAGCCTGCTGCTCGCATCTCTTTTGATGCAGCCCAGGATGTGGTTGGCATTCCGTGCTGCAAGTGCACATTTCTGAGCCATATTGAGCCTTTTGTCCACAAACACCCCAAGTCCTTCTCCCTAGGGCTAGTATCTATCCATTACCCTGCCAGCTTGTATCTGTGCTTGTGACTGCCCCAACCCAGGTGCAGAAATATTACAATAAACTATGAACCTTGGATAAGTATGTACTCTCATGGACTGCAAACTACTGAAGTTTCTACTAAAGATAAGAGTCCTGTTGCCATATACCACAGTATTTGGAATCCTGTCTGTTTTTTTTTTTTTTTACACTCAAGGACACTCAAGATGATAATCTGTACTCAAGGTCTGTATTGTGTGCTCTTTAGGCAGCACTTCAGCTTTTCTACTTTCTTCCTGCTGGGCTTTGTGAGCTATTGCATGTGGCTGGGAGCACAGTGGCTTGATCCTCTCATGTCTTCACTAATTTAATGTTGTCTTAACTGCACTGAAGCCAAAGGCAGCAATTTCCTTTTCAATGTCTTTGTGATGGGAAGGACATGGTAAGGGAAATTTACTTCTGAAAGCCTAAAGCCTTAGGAAACTATCTTTTGTTCCCTCTTCTGCTTATTTAATTTCCGAGAAAAGATTAAAGGTTGGGGATTCAAAAGTACTTTTTTTTTTTCTTGGAATATTCAAAATTACAAAGATCCTAAACATTTAGAAAAAAAAATGGCTTCATTATTGATTTTTTATCTTAGCCCAGCATAAAGCATGTTCCAAGTATTACCAAAAACTGAAAAACACTTCTCAAGAAGTCTAGAGTCTGATTTGTAATGTCATAATACTTAAAATCTGCATATGAACACACAGAATAATTTTTGAAACATAAAGGGATTTTTAGAGGATGGCTGAACTGAGGATTGGGATGCCACTGTTTCTGGTGTTCAGTACAAAGACTGGACCCATGGGGTTTATAGCTCTTGTACTTTATGTCAGGGTCTGGAGTCATCATGCCTCTCCAGGAGTTTTGGCCGCTGGGGCTTGGGACCAGCTCAGAGGGCAGCTCTGTCCCCCTAGTGCCATTGGAAGAGGCTTCCAGATGCCCTGCAGGGAGTGGCCCACCCCTGTCTTCTGGGTGCTGATTTTCAGCTGTGCCTTAAGCTGGGACTGCCCTTCTGCTCCCTAGCTGTGGTAGTGGGACAGCGCTGGCTGCTGGTCTGTCCTGCCCCTACAGGGAGGCCCTACGGCCACTGGTCCCCAGGGAGTAACCACCAAGTGCCACTTGAAATGACAGAGTTAAACTACCACTCTCTGCCAAACCCCATAACGGTGCCAGCTGGAAGGCAAGAGCTTCCCTGCCAGCTGTGCATGCATCAGTCAGACCTTACATGAACAATGAAGACTAGTCAGCTTCAGCAGCTTTCAGCTTTGCATGCTGGAAGAAGGATATCTTCCAGACCAGCTGCACTGAGAGGTCAACTCATGAGGTAAAAGACTCCAATCTGCAATTCTACAGGAAGAAGCAAAACAAAATCAGTGTTCCAGGTTGATGCTCCAGGCTTTGAGCATCTACTTCCTGATAGTAATATTCTCCACATGGAGCTAGCCTTGAAGTTCCTGTGGAAGTTACAGCTGGTGCAAACCATCCCAATAGGAACATAGAAAGGCCTTATTCAGTTAAGTAGGAGTAAACTTGCAATTCAGCCCACAGGGTAATTTGCCTCTTTTAGATAAACACTGTGGTTTTATGAAGAGGGAGGAAATGCAGAGCACCTCCATCATGCTGTTGTGCTCCCAATAATCTATAAAAGCCTAATCCCAGCATTATATTACCAGATGCTCAGAGGTTCACTAATCCACCAGCTATTACACCTGCATTCCAGGCTTTTAATAAGAAGTTCTGCAGCTGAATCCCTTATATGGCTCTTGAAGAAATTACATACTTCAGAGATTCTCTCTGTCCCCTGCCCTTCAGACCAGCAGGAAATTGCTCTCATGAGATCCACCTCCTCTAGAAGAAATGTGGGTAACCTTGGGCTAAATCCTTAGAAGTTCCTGTGGATGGCAGAAGTGTGTGTAGTGGAGGAAATCTGCTAACGTGGCAACGCAATGTTGACATGTTAGCTGTGTTCCTCTTCTTTGCTCTTAGACCCTCCACAAATATTTCTTTGGCTTAGATTCTATGAACAGTGGCATAGGAATTGTATTTTCAGCTATATCCGTTGATATTCTAAGCAGATAGTTATTTAGATGCACTCAAGTAGCTGTTTGATATCGTGCCTTAGACACAGGTATGAACTCACCGTAGTAAGAAAATCATAAATCCCTAACCTAATGGCAAAAGAGTGTAGTGCTCAAGTTTTTCCTCCTCAGATTTCAGGAGTACCTTAAGTCATAACATCAATTTGTCAACATTTTCTCTCTAAGGATACAGCTGCAGTTTCTTCTGGACATCCTAGAGTGCATGAAAGGGGGTATTGTTTTGAATTTAAATATGATGTTGTGATCCCTTTCTTTCATACATCTGATGTCTGAATTGGGATAATCACCTGTTATTTTCAGTCTGTCATAACTCATTCCTCATTAATAACATTTTGTCTTCTCCTGAAATATACTTCTGTAGTTGGAAGGCAAAAGCATTAATAATCAGGAGCCTTTTGTCCTGCATAAAACATGTCATCCTGCAAAATGATACTCTGATTGATTGCCTAAATTGCAATACACTGTTTCTCTTCTCTGTTTGGATGGACGACAACTAGGAAAAGTCCTGAGGCAACTGAGTAGACCTTGATTCTATCAAAGAGAGGCCATAGGGAATTTTCTAACAAAAAATCAACAGAGGAAATGAGTAATTATGACTGATAAGTAAGCTTAGGAAAATGTGAAGCCTTTTCAATCATTCCCATTCCCTCTTTTTTTTTTTTTTCAGAAGAAAATGTATTTGTTCATGTGACATTCATTCTACCTGTGTATCTAATTATATCTCAAGTCACCTTTGGGGGGGGTGAACAATGATTTGGATAAAATACTTGTCCTCCTTTGTAAGGAATTAATTAATTTTTATTAAATAAACTAATAATTAAAGAAAGTTTCTTGCCCATTAGTCCTGAGTTTTGACTACACATTCCAGGAGGACAGGGAGTGGTGCATTTAGAAAGTATTATATATGAGAATAACACCAGTGATAGCATGCCACCATTTTACCACACCAAGTTGCATGTATGTTGGTGAACCACTGCAGTTTTTCTTTTTTGTCAGGAAGCAGATGATTCATAAATGTGCTTGAACACTTGCAGTGTGGGAAACTGAGTAGGTGACCAAGACTCAGGATTGTACCAGGTTGGTAATGTGACAAACCAGAGGTCTTTACACGGACCTCTGAAGGAATCATTAGAGAGATATTTTGATAAAAATAGAACATGAAATAAAATGAACACATAATGAATCACCAATAAGTTGCAATGTAGTTACTACAGAAATAGATGTACCTTCAGTTATCACATTTATTCATACACTAAAATATCCATAAGCAAAACTGAAATAATTGTGACATTTTGCATTCAGGCTTTACTTTTGTCACAATTTTATTTTCACAGAGTTTTAGGTTTGTTTTTTTTTTTTAAAGTGAGGAACTCCAGTCCAATATTTTGAGTCATATGACTTCTTAGGTCAGCTCTGAATTTGGTACTTTTGCCTTAAACTCTTTTAAGTTGCTGAACATCAATATTTGGAAGTCACAATAGCTGTGATTCTGACGCACATTACAAATCACTCTAAAAGTCACCAGGATATCATTATTCCTTGTCCAAACAGTACTTACATTACTGCTTATTCTTTATTCTATTCAAGATTAGCTTTATTCTATTCAACACTGAAAACAACTTAGCACGACACAGAAAATGACTACGAAAACCACAAAATAGTGTCTTTCTCTTACTAAATCTTTTGCTTGGCTAACTCTTTTTTCCCTACGAATTATCAAAACTTGATTGATATGTATAATTTTGCTCCATTTTTGTACAGCTTCATTGCAATAATTCAGTACCTAATAAGGTACAAGAGCTAGTGCTCAATTCCATCAGTTTCCATAAGAGTGGCTGAAAACACATTGTGTACATCTCAGGGTCCCTGGTGAGCATTTACATATTACACCATCATGATAAGGCATATAAAACCCTAAGTTTACTTCAGAAAGTAAACAGAGGAAACAGAGGAAAATATACCATTTATACCATTGAAAATATACCATTTAAAGATATACTAAAATACAGGAGGTGACTTGAAGTTTATGGCCTAATTTTGGCCAGGAGAGGATAAATTTTTTTACAGTAGCCTGGTGGGGGGCTGAGGGGGCAAGGCCAGGCCCCAGATGTTGTTCTGTACCAGCTCATGCAATTGCTGGGGATAGGGGAAAGGGACTTGATGGCTTTAGAGATGAAGGGCATGGCTTCTGGTCTAAAAACCAGAAACAGGGGAAGGGAGGCGGAATTGTCCACTGTTGTTCATTGTCTCAGGGTCTGTTTTGAGCATTCTCTCTTTTGTATACTTCTGTTATTAATACTGTTCCTGCTACTGATAATTTCTCATCTCATTCCTGTTTCCAGTAAATCATTCTTATCTCAGCCTGTGATGTTCACCTTTTCTGCTTCGAATTCTCAATTCCATCCTGCCAAACAGTGGGAAGGGGGAGGGAAAGAGGAGGGGTGAAAGAGCAGCATGTGGCTTTGGAGAGTCTTGGTGGGGGCACTGAATTGGAGAATACCATTTCTAAACTAACATAGCTTTATTTTGGGTCACAAAGGGTTTTGGTAACAACAGATTTGCCCCAAGCAGGTTGGAAACTATTTTAATCTAAGCATTTGTTTTATTAGCTAAGGAGCCACTGATCACCATTGCTCTGTTGCTTGCTCTGATCATGTGGGTGTGGTACCTAACCCTGTATATTTTTCCGCACTTGCACTATGTCCCCATCAAGGTGCTCATTTTCAGAGCAGTGAGAGGGATCAGGATCTCTGCAAGTTGAATCTGAGTCAGCAGTGCCCTGGCAGCCAGGAGGGCCAACCGTGTCCTGGGGGACATCAGGCAAAGCATCGTCAGTCAATCAAGGGAGGGGATTGTCCTGCTCTGCTCTGCACTAGTGCGGCCTCACTTTGAATATTGTGTGCAGTTTTGGGCACTGCAATATAAGAAAGATATTAAGCTCTTAGAGAATATCCAAAGGAGAGCAATAGAGATGGTGAAGGGCTTTGAGGGGAAGCCGTATGAGGAGCGGCTGAGGGCACTTGTTCTGTTCAACCTGGAGAAGAGGAGACTGAGAGGTGGCCTCATTGCAGTTACAGTTCCCCCCGCCTTGTGAGGGGAAGAAGAGGGGCAGGCACTGATCTCTTCCTTGTAGTGACCAGTGACAGGACCAGAGGGAAGCACTCAGGGAGACTCGAGGACAACCCCTGAGGTTCTGGAGTTGGGGATACAAGGGATCCCAGGCCTGTTACACCCCAACTGAAAAAGAGATAGTGGCAGTTTGTGAAGGGGTTTGAGCTGCTTCAGAAGGGACTGGCGCCAAAGTACAGCTTCTTCTGGCACCCTGACTGTCAGTGCTGGGCTGAATGTTCAAAGAGAAGGTCCCTTTCAGACACCATGCCACCAACACAACCTAGAGTAAGTGGATTGCTCCGATCACACAGTGAGCTTGAGTAGGAAATCGTGATCACTCAGGGATCTTGGAAGTCATCGCAAGCTGACCTGAAGGTGAAAATTTTGGACAATTATCAGAAGAGCAGGAGAAGGTGATGTGTTAAGCAGACCCCACCATATAATCAGCTATCAGAAAATCAAAAGCAATGCACTTCCTTCACTGATGGTTCCTGCCACATTCTAGGCATATATGAAAAATGGAAAGCTGTCATATGGAGTCCTACATGGGGAGGGACAAGGTGGATAAAGTCATGTTGCAGAGCTGAAGGCCCTCCAGCTGCCTTTGAACAAGAGAAATGGCCAGTGCTCTACCTCTACACTGACTCATGGATGTTAAATGGTGCTCTATGGGGGTGACTGGACTGATGAGAAAAGACGCATTGGCACAGAGGTAAATCTGTCTGGGCTGCCAAACCTTGGCAAGACATTGCCATCTCAGTAGAGAAGTTGGTTGTGAACGTACATCATGTAGACATGCATGTACCCAAGAGCTGGGCTACTGAAAAACATCACAATGGAGAGGTGGATTGAGCTGCTGAGATTAAAGTGTCTCAGGTGGATCTGGACTGGCAACATAAAGATGAATTATTTCTCACTTGGTAGGCCCATGATGCCTCAGGTTATCAGGAAAGAGAGGCAACATTCAGATGGGCTCCTGATTAAGGCATCTATCATGGACACTATCTCCCAGGTTATCCATAACTGTGAATCATACACTGCAATCAAGCAGGCAAGTGGTATTGCGGTGGTATTGTGGACAGTGGTCAAAATACAAATATGGGGAGGCCTGACAGATTGGTTACATCAAACTCCTTCAGATCTACCAAGGCAAGCACTACGTGCTTACAGTGGTGGAAACAACCACTGACTGGCTGGAGGCACACCCTGTGCCTCACACCACTGCCCAGAACACCATCTTGGGCCTTGAAAACAACTCATGTGGTGACATGACACTCCAGAAAAAATTGAGTTGGACAATCAGACTCATTTCAAAAATAGCCTTATAGACACCTGGCCAGAGAGCACAGTATTGAGTGGCTATATTGTATTCCCTGCCACGCACCAGATGCTGGGAAAACTGAACAGTACAATGGACTGTTAAAAAACACATTGAAAGCAATGATGGTGCGACCTTCAAACGTTGGCATCTACATTTAGTGAAGGCCACCTGGTTAGATAATACTAGAGGCTCTACCAATCGAGATGGCCCTGCCCAACCAAAACCTTCATGTACCGTAGAAGGGGATAAATTCATCATGATGCATATGAGGAATGTGTTACGGAAGACAACTTGGATTAGTCTTTTCTCAAGCAAAGGCAAACTCATCCATGGGATTGTATTTACTTAAGGATCTGAGTGCACCTGGAAGGTAATACCTCAAGGGGATTTATTTTTAGGTGTAAACAGTCTGTAATGTTGAATTGTATAATATCAGTTGTGAATGACACTGCCAATGTATGCCATAACTATCATGGACAACAAGGATACACCAGTCATGAGCTCCTGAGATGCAGGTTGCAACCAGCTGACAACACACCAGCTCTCCTGCCTTGGAACACTTCTAGGATGGATAGAACCCACAGTCACGGATTAAATCAACTCAACAGGCATCTTGGAGGGATTGCCATTGACTGTTGATATGATAAGTATATTTGTATTTATGTATGTATATTTCTATACTGCATTATATATGTATATGTATATGTATATGTATATGTATATGTATATGTATATGTATATGTATATGTATATGTATATGTATATGTATATGTATATGTTGAAGGAAGACAAGGCTCTAGAATGAAGGAAGACAAGGCTTTAGAAGGATTAATCGAAGCATCTTACTGCAGGGGCCCACTGTTCTCCTACCCACTTTCTCTACCTTGCTCTAAGGAGATTTCGTTCTGTACAAATTCTGTAGACATAAGCCACAAGTACAATGCACAAAGAGCCCAGAGGTAATAAATCACAGCCAAATAGGCTAAGGTAGACATTTGAATAGGTAAAGTAGGCCTAGAGCCAAGGGTTTCTTCAAACCTGGACGATCAGAACACGAAAACAAAGGAAAGTACGAAAAGTCTCCGGGGTCACGCGATGAAGAAGAGTAGATTTGAGATCCCATGAGGAAGTTAGGCAGGATCTCCCACCATAATGTTCCTCAAAATAGAGACCACGCCTCAAACTCCGCCCTGACTCCACCTACTATGAATATTGTATGCAATAATATGAATATGTATGTGGTTATGTTGTAATCATTGCCAAACCTGTATAAAATATTCATTCTGACCTAACCAGCTCGGAGCCTGTTTTCCCAGCAATAGCTGGGAAATGTATCTAGTTGGAAGGTGTAGGATCTGGCCATGACATAGAGGGTATGCAACAAGGGGTGAATAATGTACTGGCTCTGGCCAGGACAGGGTTAATTCTTTCAGTAGCCAGGAAAGGGCATGGCCAGGACTCGGAGGTTGTTCTATAGCACTTCACCTCTTTGTCAGGGTCCAGGGAAAGGGAGTCTCTTCCAGGGAGACCGTGCTACTTCTGGTTAAGCGAAAGCTCTGAGTGGTAGTATATGGAAGTTCATTAACCAGATGAACTTGAGGATCTCAAAGATACTGCCACAGAAGACAACTGCAACCAGTACAATTAACCGCACGTGCTCTGTGCTGCAGAGCTTGTTGGCAAACCCTACCCACAAGACATACCAAGCTGAACCAAACTCCAGCTTATCCTTTGCATTTTAAACTTTTGTGAAATTGAGGAATTGCTCTTTAGTCTTGCTGTTGAAAATTTTATAGGCAGCAGCTCCCACACTTCAAGGCAGTCTTGCAAAAAGCAATTTATTTGAGTTTGTGAATTCAATCATATACCTGACACTATTTTATATGGAAGGTACATCCTCTGTTTTATTTTTCTCTCCATGCTGCAAAACTCATTGGAGTCAAAAGCTAAATCCTTTCAATCTACAGGGCAGCTCCCTGTTGGAAGTTAGAAGCAGATGATATGTGTTCTTCAAGAGGCATGATTTCATAGCTAAATATTTCCATAACTGTTGTTGAAAAGGAAATGCTTTACATTTGGGAACACTGAAAACTTTAGCAGACTTATAAACTACTGGAGGGATGAAAGCTTCTTTTCTCACTTGTTCGTGTTGACTATGCCAGTGTATGATGCTTAGGGACCAGTCACTATATCTCTAGTTGTTTTCATTCAGATAGCTGCAGCAGCATTTTCTTTATTGTCCTAAAACCCCCCCAGGTTACTCTGCTTGCAATTAGAGAGACATTCAAATTTTTCTTTAGTAATGGAAACCTAATTGGAGAGTATCTTTGTATGGGAATGGATGACGAAAGAGATAAGACAGCAAAGTGCTCAGTTCATTGAGAGATTTAGAGCTACATGATCCAGTTTTCCAAGCTGCCATATACTGGTTAGAAAGGGATATCAAATCTATGGTTGGCCTTACTTTATCTGTAGTAGAGCTGCTGTCCTTTGGAGTTTCCAAAAATGGCAATAAAAATGGTTTAGTTTTGTCTTCATTCTTGTATGGAAAATCCTTAGCAAGGGTTGAAAGGAGCCCAGTATATTTAGACATGAGTTAGCATTCTTGAATGAAGACTTTTTGCTTACCCAACAGTTTTCAAAGTTACATCTTTCCCCAGGGATTTAAACTCACATATTTATTCAAATGTCATCACTGTATATGGTAGTAACACAAAGAACGTATATTTTAATACATAGGAATTGCACTAGAACACAAAACCAGGGCTCATCATATCATTGCAGAGGATACCATGTACTCAAACACATGCAGCAAGTATACACTTGGCATAATACTTACCTCTCATTTTGGCAAGTAAGTAGTGAAAAATCAAGGTAAATGGTGAAATGGGTGTTTGATGTTACAATATCTGGTACAATAGAATTTTCCCCAGCAGCAATAAAGTAATATTTTTAAGGCAGGTATAACAAATAACACTAAGAAGTCATATGAATAATTCCATTAATTTTGACTACCCTTAAGCATCTATGTCTTAGCCGTGCCTCACAATAAAGAGATTAGACAGTTTACATTCTTCCATATTTATATTTTTCTCCCTTGAATACTTCATCCCTTACAGTGCAATAAGCTGTAGGTATATACAGAAAAATAACAACAACAAAAAAAAAAAACAAACTGTTTCTCCATTGGAATACCTTGCTTTTATGTCAAGAGGCAGATTAAAATTTTGGGAAACACACAACTGTAGACCTTAGTTCTGCGAGCTTTTATTTGCAGTGGAACAGTTTCCATTCCAAAGAATTTTGCATGGATTAGAAGCACTCTTATGGATGTAATTGAAATGTCATTGATAAATGCTGGAAATTAATGGAATGTGTTCTAGCGACATCTTTGATGTTATCAACAAACAACTAAGTGGGGTTTTTTTAGAGGGTATGGTTCTGATGACAAAATCTTCTGCATGAGACCTGTTCTTGGCAGTTGAAGTTTTTTTAAAAAGTGAGAAAAACACCTGTGACTTTCTCCAGGCTTTGAAATGTTGTTCTACACAAATAATTAAAAGGATTTGCCAAAATATTTTGTAATGCAAGACCACTGGCAGTATAGATCTGGGCTTTGAGAGAGCTGAAATCTCAATTCCATTCCATTTGGAAGTGCCAAGATCTAAGAGGAAGTTCTACTAGCACAGTCATGCTTAGGAAGCAGTGATATAATTGGGTTACAGGCTGTGAAGACACCTAATTGAAGTGTTCCTGAAAAATCATCCTAAGATCCTATAGAACTTCTAGGATCCACTACTAATGAAAGACTCTTCACTTCATGTGTCAAAAGCAAAATGAAAGATACTGATTATTAACTGCATGACAAACGTTGAGGGTGGACAGGGAGGGGAACTCCAGTCTAGAGGCTTTCCTTTTACGCCTAGTCCTGGCGGGGAAGGTGCCCTCCCCCTCCCCCCCACCATGGGGTCTCCATGGTTCCCACAGGGATCACCGGAGACGAGCTGCTGGCAGGGTGAGCAGGCAGAGAGAGAGTTTATTGTTCTGAGTAACAACTTAAATACCTTAAATACCTTCTGGAGGTAGGTAAACATAAAAAAGGTGACCATTAGGAGTTCAGGAGGTCTTACAAACCAACCAATTACAAGAAAGGGTTAACAACCAATAGATGAGCTTCCAGTTCTCTCTTAGACATTTCAAAGATACAGGTAAGGGATCTTGGGAAAGAGAAAGGTTTACACAAAGAGTTACACCACCGTTTTGGAAGCATGTTCACTTTAACAACATTAAAACTTCTGCATTCTTTTATATACTGCAACAACTGCATATTACAGAAAAAGACATTTCAGTCTGTCATAACCATAATGTAAATTGAAATAACAAATTGTCTTGGAGACAGAGTATGAGAAGTTTTGGCTTTAAACTGAAAATCCCTTATCAGGAATACTAAGCAAGTTTTGTTTACAGATGAGCACAGTAAATGCCTCATTATTCAAATCACAGGCCTTAAGTTTGATTTTTGTGGGTTTTTTTTTTGGTTTGGTTTTGTGGGGTTTGTTTGTTTGTTTGTTTGTGTGTGTGTGTGTGTGTGTGTGTGTGTGTGTGTGTGTGTTTTAAGTAAAATCCTCAGGCCAGTTGAGATTTACATTATTGTGAATTTTGCCACATCAGTGTGTTGGCCAGAGATTCCATAAATAAAGAATCAGTTTGTTCTTGAAACACTACTAAACCTAATTATTTCACTGAAAATTCATGCAGGCAATAGTACGAAATGTGAGAGTAACTATTTTCTAGATGTCACCTGTTTAAGCTAGAAATCCATCTAAGCAGATAATAGTTACCTAAAAACCCTTTGACAGCGAAGCTATGTCAAGGAATGCCAAAACCCCACCATGCATCAAAAATGAGACCCTTCTGATTTTAAATGCATTTAGGAGACGCTTACAATGCACTGAACTTTTTGTGATTTTACAAAGAGAAAATTATATTTTTCTTCTACGTAGTTCTGTAATGTAGGATCCTGAGTGAGTTTTGTCACATGCAAGAAAGCTATCAGGGTGGAACTGGACGACTCCGCTTAAGAGTTGTTTATACACCCTTAAAGAAACATCTGCTGTCAGGGATGACCAATTGCTTTTACTAACTTTTAAAGTTTAAACCCTAAAACAGTCTGACTGTCCTGGCACCACTGCTATAATCAGATGACCTTGGAGGTCTTGCTTCCATATCATTAGCTACTAAAAAATTAGCAAAACACCTTCAATAGCCATTTCAAGCCAGGATGCCCTCTGAGTTGCTGTTAGCAAGGGCCAAAAGCAGACGTCTGGATCCCAGGAGGAATCAAGTTTCCAAGTCATGCTTTAGTAACCAGTTTTTCAAACCACCTTCATCCCAGACTGGCTAGGACCTAGACAAATACTTGCTAGAATCCAGACTTCTGCACAAGATATGGGCCGAACTCACTTTCATTGCATCTCACATAAGGGGCAAACCGAGACATTTTTTACCTATTATGCTTCCTCCCAAGTTGTAGCTCCACTCCTTGTTCAGCTTCAGGGTTCGTGTCACCATTCATGGCCATTAGTCATGGCCACTGTACTGCCAGCACCAACCTCTTGCCAGTGATGCTACCTTATGTACCAAGTATGTTCCTAATCCTTACGAGGATTCAGTAGTACAGATGGCTTACAACACACCACACCAACTGTATAGCGACCGTGTTAGTTTTTTGACTGCCAGCCGAGGAAGGCTACCCTCAGGGCAGATTATTGGGAAAGCGTGTGTAATTCTGAAAATGCTCCTTAATCGGGGAGCGGGGGAAGTTTGGCATCTTATATTTAGGGAGAGTGCATTATTGATGTGATTCTTTTCAAATCAGTGAAATTACTAAAGCAATTATAAAAGCTCAATATATCTTCATAAGAGTCTGCTGTTTTCACTGTTGACCAAAAGAGTCTGTCTCGGTCTGTAAGGAAAGAGGAGGATTACTGACATTACCTTGTCAGCCTCTTAGTTTCTGACATATAACTTTTTTCTTTCAGCAGTTTGAAGTAATTAATTTCTTCCATTTGAACAACTACAATCAAGCATATATATATGTTATTATTATAAGGTACTTGACAATAATATTTCAGTGAAAGCTGTATTTCCTATTTTTTCCACAAAGCTATGCCATTCTTACATAGCAACGGGGTGCCATTCAGAGTTAGAGAAGGAATCCTAGGAAATTGGAAAATTTGTATCAGTGAGAGCCAATTCAAATTTTCACAGATTTTGCTTACAACTTAACTCTTTTTGGAAGCTTTTTAAATGGTGTTTCATGAAGTTGTGATGAGCACAGATAAATCTTTCGTTTATCTTCTTCACTGTGTATAGTTTGCTATAGAGGGATAAATTTTTCATGTACTATACTTAGAGAAAGGTGACAGATTGTGAACAATTGGGATATCCAATAAACATGATTTCAGTACTGAAAACCCAGATCACCCCTTCTGTTTCAGTACCTTATCTGATTTTATTTTCTCCTTTGAATTTTTAATTTGGAAGATAAAAGTCAAGCACTAGGGTAGTTTCTGTGGCCTAACAATAAAGCAGCTAAGAGTTTTATCTCTTCAGAGCTGATTTAACCATTAAAATTTTTGGCAAACATTTTATGGACTCTGTAA